TCTTTTCTTTTCTTTTCTTTTCTTTTCTTTTCTTTTCTTTTCTTTTCCTTTCCTTTTCTTTTCCTTTCTTTTCTTTTCTCTTTTCTCTCTTTTTTCTTCTTTCTCTCTTTCTTTTTCTTTCTTTCTTTCTTCTTTTCCTTCTTTAAAGATTTTATCTATTTGAGAGAGAGGGAGAGAGAGAGAGCACAAGCAGGGGGAACAGGAGAGGGAGAGGGAGAAGCAGGCTCTTGGCTGAGCAGGGAGCCTGATGTCGGACTTGATCCCAAGACCCTGGGGTCACGATGTGAGCTGAAGGCAGATGCTTCACCAACTCAGACACCCAGGCACCCCCTCAAATGCCAGCATTCTTAAAAACTCAAAAAAGTCAAATGTTTAACGTGGATGCTCATAAAAATTCCAAAGAAATGCTGCTGACCTTTACAAGGTTGCTCACTGCTGGTTTTCGCTCTCCCGCATGGTGGGTGGGAGTGGGGCGGGGGTCCTATCAATGGAGATTCCCTCGCGGGAGCCGAGAGGTGGTTTACCTATTTGGAGGTTAAGGAGCAGCTAACATCCCAGCATGATGAAATGGCCTCCTTTGGGATCTCCCTCTCTGTGCGGCGTCTGACACGCGGACGTGGGGCCGACTGCCATCCTAGGCAGTTTCTGGGAAGGCTCTTGTTTGATGCCGAAGCTCCTTGAGCCTGGTGGGGGTGGGGATCCGGACGAGGAGTGTGGGGATGGGCGCTGCTCATCACTTTTGACTGAGGCCACGTTTGCCACGCCAGCAGATTTCCTGGGACCTCAAGTGCATCCTGTTTCTTCAATACACAAGCCTCCCTGGGCCCTTCTGCAGGGCCTGGAACACCCTGTGACTTTTCCTGCGTCGTCTTTACCTTCGCTGCCCCAGCAGCCCTTCCTTCCCCGCCACCTCCCAGTGTGCTTCCGCCGCCTCTCCTGCTGGCCCCCTCTTAGATCTTTTTCTTTTTTCTTTTTTTTTTTCTTTTTAAGATTTATTTATTTGAGAGAGAGAGAGAGGGAGAGAGAGCCCAAGCTGCACACGGAGGCTGACGCAGGGCTTGATCCAATGACCCTGAGATCACGACCTGAGCGGAAATCAAGAGTCAGAAGCTCAATTGACTGAACCACCCAGACGCCCCCAGGGTCACCTCTTATGTTTTTATACATGTCCCAGGCAAAGGCGGGGCTTGTACGTCTAGGGCTCAGCCTAATATCTGGCACCTAGAAGGTGCTCATTCATTGTCTCTCAAATGAATTCACCCTGGAATGAATGAATGAATGAATGAATGCACTGAACCCAGTGGGAATGTATCCTTATCCCTTTGCCTCAGTTCTGCTCAGGGCAGCGGGACTGGCCACGGAAGGCTGTTCTTCAGTCTTACTCTATCCAGAGTTAAGTAGGAGCTTTCCTTTTTAATGCCCCACAGTTTTGGAAGCTCTGCAGGTTCCAGATACTACAGAGCACAGCCCGTGGGATACGGAGGGAGAAGGTGTTGTCCCCACCCAGGGAAGCTCACAGAGCTGCGTGAGCGATAAACCAGCAGACAGTCCGTGCAAACCCGGGATGACAGGTGAATCAATGCGTGGGGATGTTGGGTGTTGTGAGAGCCCAAAGAGGAGGAAGTCAGCCCCAGCTGAAGTCCTCTGGACACCTTCCTGGTTGGGGTGATGTGGGCGTTGGACAGGACAGAAGCCAGAGAAGGGAAGCAAAACAGTGCAAAACGGGGTAGCTTGAAAGAGTGATGGATTATGTGAATTATGTAAATTATGTAAACTATGTAAATTATGATTATGTAAATCAGAATAGCCAATCTGCAGGAGGAGTGACTTTTTAAATTAAAATAGTTAGCATGCTGATGATCACCCTGTCCTGGACATGACAGGCATTTCCTAACCAAGTGTCAGTACCTGTAGGACATCTTCCAGTACGGCAAGTCTTAGCTGCACTTGCTGAATACACAAGGTCCGCCATGGACGTCTGATCCAGGAGCCCCACCAAGCCCGTCTGTACCCTGAGCCCCTGTGTGGTTGTATCACCAAAGGTGGATGATTAGGGGGCTGCCGTTCTCAGGCCATCCTAACTACTTAGTGGTGACGGAGTGTCCTATGCTTGGACGTCCTGGCTCAATGGTTAGAGCACTGACTCCTGGGGCACCTCGGGGGCTCAGTTAAGCGTCTGCCTTCGGCTCAGATCATGATCCCAGAGTCCTGGGATCAAGACTTGCATCAGGCTCCCTGCTCAGTGGGGAGCCTGCTTCTCCCTCTCCTTCTGCCTGTCTCTCCCTCCCCCTTGTGTGTGCTCACCCTTTCTCTCCCTCTCTGTCAAATAAACAAAATATTTTGAAAAAGTAAATAAAATAGAAAATAAAGCACTAACACCTGTTCCTGTTATCAGGCTTGGGGGCTGGTCTTTCGGGGTTCAGATCCCTGATCAAGGTCAAGATGCAAATCCAAATACATCGCAGCAGGACACTCTGGCAAAGGTAAGCGTTCCCTCTTTTTCCTTCCTGTGTTAGAGAGCATCTGTGGAAACTTGGCATGCAGATATATATTCACAGGCATGAGAGGAACCGAATCAGACCCCAGCATTTGTTACTATGAAGGCTGGGTGGACTGAGAGCCAGCACAGAGAAGAGGTTTCTACTCAGAATTGCTAGTATGGATCTGGTTTTTAAGCCCTGCTGGGACGATCCCAGAGAATTATAAATGTTTCCCTCGGCATCGCCGAGAATACGTGGGAGGGCTTGTCAGTTGTGTGGGAACAGGAGTGGATCCGAGGAAACACGCCTTGGTCTACCAGTGGTAGCTCAGAGGTGGTGACTCACAGCAGAAATTCTCCGAGGAAAGGACACTGTCTTCAGATGGGGAAAGACCAGAGATTAAAAGCTTTCATTCCCAGGGATGGGTGAACTAGTCTGGTGTCGGTGCCTACTGGGAGAGACATCTAGAAAGAGTAGAGTGTGGTGGTGGGAGGTCCTGCGTAGTGGTGGGACTTTCGTGGACCACGGCAAGGGTGAGTGGCTGCTCCCCTCAGTGGAACCAAGCGTCTTCACAAGTATTTCAGAGTGTAATCCCTGAGCAAGTTTTCACATTCATGATTCACAGTATAATCCCCGATGGTAGTTTTAACCGTCGTATTTCACTAGGTAATCGCGGACAAAGAATGTCCGTTGCCATGTACCCCTGGTCACAAATCCCTCCTTTAGCTGAGGACTCTTCCTGTCTCTCTTCCTCTGCGGGCAGCACCCAGGAGAAGATTGATAGCTCATGAGGAAAATACCAGGATTCATAGCTTGGGAGAAAAATCATCTAAAATACCTTGGCTGGCTTTTTGAACGTCTGATACAGTTAATACTAAACTGTGCCAAACTGGTAGAAGGAATCTGTTCATTTCTTCTGAGAGCATTTTACCTTTTCAATCTATACCAGTCCAAAACAGGCTTCAGAGCGAGTAGGTGTGCAGACATGTGGGACCGGCAGTCTGGGCTTCCCGGAACCTGCTCCTTTTTTTCTTTTCTTTCTTTCTTTTTTTTTTTTTTTTTAAGAATTTATTTATTTATTTATTTATTTATTTATTTTTGTCAGAGAGCGAGAGAGAGTGCATGCACAAGCAGGGGCAAGTGGCAGGCAGAGGTAGAGGGAGAAGCAGCCTCCCAGCTGAGCAGGGAGTCCCATGTGGGGTCTTGATCCCAGGACTCTGAGATCATGACCCGAGCCAAAGGCAGACGCTTTACTGATGGAGCCCCCCAGATGTCCCACTTCTGCGGTTTCTAATGTCATTTTCCAGGCACAGGCCAGCATGTGCATTGTATCGGGGTGTCTGGGAAACGAGCCCCTTTGTAAGGAGCTAGGGAGTCGGTGTCTGCAGGTTCCCAGGAGCTCTTGGTGGCTGATGTCATACTAGATCATTGCATTCCCTTTTCAGGAATTACCACTGGCCTTGGCTTTGGCCTTTAGGGTACAATTGTAAGAGGCTGTCTGATTTCCATAGCCTCTTTGTAGAGAAAATGGGAAATTTGCATAGAAATAGACCAGGGTGAATCAAAGTATTATGTTGTAGAATGGCTGTCCTGGGGCCTGTGTTTGTTATTTGTACACATCTGGAGTGTTCAGCTTGTTTAATCCAAACACGTTCTAGACTGTAGGCACTTCAGATAAGGCCGCCCTTCCCTGCCCAGGGTTTGACATACAGTCTTCAATGCTCAGAGGGATTTGAGACGTTTGAACATCCATGGAGGGATTTTTTTCCCTCCTTGCAGCTACTTAGTTGCTTTTCAGAAACACGGTTACTCATGCTTCCTGAGGGGAAAGGTCTGTTTTGAGGTGTCCTAATGTGTTCTTGAAAGCAGATTAACGTCCTCCGTCGGTGACCAGATTTTCCTGCGTCCTGACTTCCAGGCTGGAGGGAAAGGAAATCCCATATCTTATTTGCAGAACACAGCCTCTTGTTTTAGAAAATCATTCTTCAGAGAAGAAAAGGAAGGGAAGGAGGGGGACAGGAAGCAAGGGGGACAGGGAGAAAGGGAGGAAGGAAAAAAAAGCTCTTCCTTTGGACTCTGCTAAGTCTGAAATGTTAATTTTCAGATCACCCTAAAGTATATATTACTTACCTAAAGAATTTAAAATTCATCCCAAGGAAGGGCCAGTTAACAGAACTGAAATGAAGGTCAAGAATGCTCCCCCTCTGTGAATTACTCATTCCCTGGCAAGGTGATTCTGTATGGCAAAGAACCACAGGCCATCACCAGCATCAACAAGGAACGTTCGTTGAGCTCACTGGTCCTAGGGGCCTGTGCTCAGCAAGTGTTCCCGGCGTCCCTCCCCAGGCTGAGGCCCCTTCACCTGGTGCTGGTCCTGCTCCCTGGGTGTGGTCTCGCTCTACCTTCTCCACTGCCCCTGGTTGCTCTCTGTCCCTTTCTTCTTTGTCATCTTCGATGGCCACCTATGAGGGGACATTTGGAAATATGCCTTTTGGGCAATAGGCTGCTTCCTGCCTGTAGAGAGCTGGGCTCAGAGGCCCATTTCCCTTGGTGTCCTCTGCTGGCAGGACCCTCCTGATCTCGCTCCCTGGGAGGTCCTGTGGGCTGTTTATCCCCCTGAGGTCCGTGGCTGCACACGGTTCTTGCTGAGACACGCCGCTCCTGCTGAACGGATGCCCTGGTGTTTTGGGACTGTCAGGGTACAATGGGGCATTCCCCCTTAGGTTCCCAGATGACCTTCTGTCCCCCTGAGAGGGTCGCTTAACACCACCCTTGCAGCTTCCGGCTGCCACACCTCTGACTTGGTCTCCATTCTGGGGCCATCTCCTGGCATTTTGTCTCCAGACCTGCAGACCCCAGCCAAGGCGTGCATTGGGCACAATTTCTATCTTTGAAGTTACCTCAGGTGATGCTTTACCAGATGTTTTGAACTGCATCTGTTCTGTTATCGATATCAATTTTCTTGCCATTCTCCCCTTGTACTTCTAAAGTTTTTCTCCCATAATTTCCAGATTTCTCTAAATGTTTCTTTGTCACCCACATGCTGATCTTAAAACCAATGCCATCTATTTTCCGTGTTAGTGACAGTAATGAGGTTCCTGTGAGTACAGTACCAATATTTGGCCACCTGTTGCCACGACAGCGCTGTGTAAGATGCTGCCTTGGATCCCCATGGCTGCCACGGTATGTCTTTATCAGGTCCGGAGTCCAGGGATCCTCCTGCTGGAGGCTCGGCGGCATGGACCTGGTCACTCATGACCACGTGGTGGGGGCTGGCTGTTGCCTCTGAGCATGATGTGGGGGACTCCATTCATCAGAGGCATAGAGGGGCTGCAGGCACAGGGGAGCTGTTTTCAAACCCATCCTGTGCCACATTCTGTTGGCCAGAGAGAGCCACGTGACTGAGCCACGCGACTGAGCCCATGTTCGGAGGTGGGAGGCATAGGGCTGCACAGAGGGTGTGGAGGAAGAGGGGTCGTAAATGCAATCAGACACAGGTGTTTCTGAACCTCCGGAAAGTGGGATGGGTTGTGCGTGGGCTCCCAGCCACGCTGCCACTGACTACAGCAATGACACCTCCGTCTCTATACCCATGTTCCCTGTCATTCTTCAGTCAACAAAAACACCACCTGCTTTTAAATAAATTAGATTAAAACAAACAAATGAAACACAATGAAAACAGAAAACCTTGACCTAGGGAAAAGGCCACTATAGTCTCTCCTCTTGCCCTCCAGTGAAGCAGTCAGGGAGCCACGGCGTGGGGCAGAGCCAGGCCCCAGACGTCGATCCTGGGAGTTCTGGTGTCCACCAGCAGGGTTTTTCCTACTGTAATCACCTGTCCCTTGACTTCAGCAGGATCCCAGCTTTCTGTTGTTTCCAGAAATATGGCAGTACCTGTGTGTGAGAGCCCGGGGGTGGCAGGATGGGTCTGCATGGGAGGAATCCTTGTTGGATGCACGAGGTGCCCCTGGTCTGTGACATGAGCCCCCGGTTCAGTGCCAACCCCCCCATCACAGAAACTGTGCCTTCCCATGCTTTTCAGAATGAAATGTGTGAATTACACACATCTGTAAGTTTGCAAACAAACATTTGTGTCTTTAAAGTTTGGAGACATCTGGGTGGTTCATTCAGTGGAGCAGGCAATGCTTGATCTGGGGTCATGAGTTCAAGCCCACATTAAGCGTAGAGCTTACTTAAAAAATGTACACATAAAAAAATTAAAAAAAAATTTGTTACACAATCTTAGATCTTCTCAGACTCACCCTAGAAGACTGTACGATGTCCTAGGTCCCATGGTTAGCCCTGCCCAAATGGGATGCCTTCCTCTTTGGAGTTAAAAAAAAAAAAAAGATTCGCAAAAATATCTCTATGACCTTAAACTATTTCAAGAGGAGGGTGAGTAGCTGGCATGAAAGAGAAAGGGGTCTGTTTTCTGAATTGCTTAAGGAAGTGAGCTACGGGAGAAAGACTCAGGGAACCTTGTCTGGTAGGGGAGTTGTTTCTTTTCGAAAGTACATGAGAGATAGTGTGTCCCTTAGCCATTCCCATGAACACACAGCTGTCCCCCGGGATCCTGGTGGGAAGACAATGGGTCCTAGTGGCATGAAGTGGAAAAGAAACACAGTTGGGAGCCAGGGACTTGAGGTGTGGCCCTAGCTTTGCAAACGGTGAGGGCCTGAATAGGTTCTTCTGAGCAGGTTCTGACTTTATGGGGATCAGATCTGCTTCTGCAGAGAATGGTTTTGGGTTGGAAAAGACAGCGCTAGAGAAGCGAGCTGTCCAGTCAATGGAGTCAAGACCAGAAGTGGCCGGTGACGTCCTCAGATCTCTCCAAGACAGCTCCCCAGCTTTCCACGCTGAGTGTACTTCAAAAAAAAAAAAAAAAAAAGTTCATTAAAATATTGATATCTCAAAATACAGATACTGATGGTTCAATTAGTCCTTTTTCCTGCTCCTTATTATCTCAGCTGTGATAACACTGTCTGTCTCCTGTTCTCTCTTCCATCTTCTGCCTGTCCGACGGACACGCTACTTTATTCTCCACGCTCAGCAAATGCTCAGTTCCATTTATTTTGAGAAATAATGTTCCGCATCCAGTTATTAATTTGAAAGTAATCATTTTTTTCTGATCATTTTCTTCGCTTTTAATTTGCAGGTCAAATTTTATTAGCTTACCAACCAGGAAAGAAAAAAAAAATGATGGGTTTAGGTTCTTTTTTCGCTGTGAGAATATAATTATAGGGCAACATTCACATTTGTTCTGGGGACAATTCATCTATTTTTAGCTAGAAATTATATGCTTGAGATAAATATAAAATTAGTGGACAGAGACTTTCACTGCTCTCTGCCAGCCGTGCGGGGACACGGTGCTGGGCCCGACATTCAGGTGCTGTTGAACCTAACGGACACGTGTCCTTCGTGTCCAGGAATTACTGACGAAGACTGAGGAACTAATTTCACGAGAGCCGTTATGTCACCTCTCTCTTGTAGGTGTGGTACAATCAGAAGGGCTTCCATTCCCTACCTTCCTACTTGAATCATCTGAACAACATGATACTGTGGAGACACTTACCGCCGGACCGGGACTGGAGACAATACGGTAATGTCGTTTTTCATGCATTATCATTCGCCGCTCTCAAAACACAATGTATTTAAAGGTGGAGGAGGTAGAAGAGATCAAGCCTATGGATGTGAAGCGTGGTGGGAAGGTTTTCCTCGGGCAGCCTGTTCCCATATAAATACCTGCGAAGTGGTAGGCCCTATTGGCCTCTGTTTGGGGTCATTAACTGGTTCTTAGCTTCTCGCACTTATGACCAAATCTGCACAGTGAGGGGTAAGAGATGATGGAGAGTCCCCCCTTGTGACTTTAATCTTACAGAACCAAGAATGATTTCTTTTTTAGGACATTTTTATATGGAGTAATCTTGTAGATAGTATAGATCACCCATGTTGTAGGGAAGGCAAACATCATCATCTGTTCTGTGCTGGGCCCTCAACTCATCAATTATCTAAGCCGATCGAGGACTCATGGCCTGTGCTTTCCTATCCTGAAATAATGACATTATTTGGTATTTATTTGAAGAAGACTTATTTTGAAAAATTGACACAAGTTCATTTCTGGAATCCAGAGTGAAACTATTGATTTAAGGGGATGTTATTGCTTCCTGTGGTGGGATAAATTGTAATTTATCAAACTCTTCCAGATTCCTTAAAAAAAAAAAAAAAGTCATAAAGACATCAAGTGTGTAAGCACCAGCAGGCCACACCTATCATAATTTATTCACAAGATGTACTTGTTGAAGTGTCAGTCTTCATGGGCATAAACATGGAGCGATTACCCTAGTGTTCTTGCTTTACCCCAGCCCTATCTTTTACTTCCATATTTGTTTTCTTTTATCCACCAAGTTTTTTTTTTTTTCTAAGATTTTATTTATTTATTTGACAGAGAGAGATCACAAGTAGGCAGAGAAGCAGGCACAGAGAGAGGGCGAAGCAGGTCTCTGCCGAGCAGAGAGCCCAATGTGGGGCTTGATCCCAGAACCCTGGGATTATGACTTGAGCTGAAGGCAGAGGCATTAACCCACTGAGCCACCCAGGCACCCCCTTTATCCACCAAGTTTTTAATAAAACAGGATTAAATTATTTTGTGACACTTTAATTATGTTGGAACGATAGTAGGCAATATACAAAAGTGAAAGTATGCATGCCTAAGAAAAATAGGAAAAACACGAAGGTCCCTCAGATGATGGACAGCAGAGCCCTATCAGTAAGTGCCTGGAGTGTACGGGGGTCTCTAGTTGAGATGTAACACCCATGGTGTCATTTCATTTTTCACAGCGGTTTTGTAAGGCGGCCAGTATTAACCTACTTCACTGATTAGAAAACCAAGGTTAAGAGAAATCACCTACTGGCGATGGCTCTGAGCAGGGTAGGCCGTGGGCCATGCTGTGGCTCTAGGTCTGGTTGAGAACAAAGCCCTCCTTCTACTGCTGCAGGAAGTGAGAGGTCACTTCTGAAGGGCACGAGCAGAACCGCTTCCTGGGCAGGTATCGCGAACCACGGATCTTGAAGGATGGGCAAAAGTTTGATTGAAAGCTACTGTATTAGCAATTCAGGAGAATCATAGCGTCCTTTCAAGTTCAGTGGCAGAGTCCAGTTTGACCTTGTCGTAAAGGTGAGTGTAGAGAGACAACTGCGGTTGGTTGAGGCCAAATTCTGCTTGACCTTGTCTAACAGAGTGAGGACTATACTCTTTCCTTATAGACAGTCTTTACCTCTATTGGAGAAAGAGAATGTCGTGATCAAAGTATGTATGTATTAGACTAAATAATCAGGAAGCCGTGGTCTAAAGGGCAGAGGGCGGGTTGCAGTCAAGTGACCTGTTGGAAGTTGGTTGCTCACATGTAAGACTAGCATGACTCTGGAGGGAAAAAAATGAAATTATAACATGCACGCAGATGAGAGAAAAGGTTGAGGCGTTAGTAGTGGGGAAAGGAGAGAATTTAAAGAACTTGACAAGTAAGGAAATGTAGAGAAAGAGTTTAAAGGATATAGATCAGAAATCTGAGGTCTTAAGAACAAAGGACGGTCCTGGTCGGTCTGGATGGGATTATAAGAACTAAGTCAGGAGAAACACGTGTTCAGAGAAGTGGTAAAACAGTGTGTACAGGTGCAGAGATGCCTGGTTTGAGTCACATGTTGGATGAAAATGTGCCATAAGATTCAGAAAAGGAGAGGGACAAGCTCAGGAGAAGGAGGGTGAGCGAAACCCTCTAGCCTTCCCCTGGATAAAGATGGCTGTCAAGCCCGTCAGGGAGGCTTGGGGTGTTAGGAGGTGGGAGAAGGCAGGGTGTAGGCTGGTTGCCTCCGGAGAGCTGGTCCCGTGGAGGTGTAGGGATGGAAATCCCATGGGTGGAAAGACGCTGAGAGAGGCTATTTATGGGATGTAGGAGACTGAACACGTGTCCCTGTTCTGTGGACGCTTGCTGAAAATGAGTGAGAACAGAAACTGTGAGTGCGCACATGCGTGTGCAAAACAAGGAGTGATTAGAGGTTTGGGGAGGGTGAGAGAGTGAAAGGGAACATTTGGGTTGTAACTTCACGTTTTACTCTTGTACAAGGTATAAAGGTAAAAGCATCAAATACTACAGATCTGAGTTAGTGGGAACGGGGCGTACGAAGTGTAATTGAGTGACATCAGTAACTGTGCGTGTGTAGGGGGGAACCATAAAGGAGTAGAGATTTTGGGTTCGGTGGAGATCTGATGCTGCCATGAGGTCCTAAGGGGCTCCCGGCTTGACTGAGCATGCTGTCTAGACAGATCTGAGATGAGAGGAGGAATCAGGCAGGGGCGGAAACCTGTGTCTCAGGAGATAAAAACCATGATCGCAACTAAAATTTCCATGCCCAAGGAACAGAATGGTGTCCTACTAAAAGGAACCTTAACTCGTGAGAGCTTGAGTTAAACACGTAAGTGTTAAATTGGGTTCCAGCTGTGAGCCACAGTCTTGAGTCCCGCGTTTGGTCGAGCCCTTGTGTCCTGGGTCACTGGCTGGGGTCACGGGAACAATGGTGACCCGAGCTGGGTGTCAGTCTACTTGTGTCCCGTGGGGCTGGCTTCCCGGGTGAGATGACATGCATCCCGGGAACGTCTCTTGTAAGGAGTGGAATCCTTGTTGGTTGAAAAGTCACGCTGACCTGAAAAATACATTTATCCTCTGTTATTGGAAACTTTAGTGATATTTTATTTGTTTCTGTCAGAATTTCAATTCTCATGTGCCTTGTTGAGGTGGTGGTTGTGCGAAAGGAAGGTTTGGGCCGCAAAGAGGGGACATACCAATCAGAGCGCCCAGGATAAGGTTTGTGCATTAGTAGCCAAGGGTTGATTAGGAACTCTGGGCAGGGCTCGGAACAGGAGTGTCCTGGACGCCCCTGGGTGCTGGCCTGAGCAGCTGGGAATGGGCAGAGCTAGAACTCCCTGCTTCATTGTTACATTAAAATGAAAGCTGCCCACTTACAGCTTGGATGAGCCCCAAGAGTAGAGCCTGTGCCCTGCTCCCCATTGGGCCCCAGCAGCTCCCCAGAACCGGGCTCCGAGGGGCACCCTGGTGACACCAGCTGTATGACCACTGTACCACACAGCACAGCCTGCTCTCATCACGGCGGGCCTGTGACAGCGTCTTCAAGACACGGACATCCCTGCCTTAGAGATGCAGGAACTTCCTGGACCCCGTCCCAGACCCCTGAAAGGAGTCTCCAGAGCCTGGCGTGGGCCCGCTTGCTGTGACCCAGCATGTTGGCAGCTTCTCGGGGCCCCTCGTAAGCACAAGCTCAACGTAACGCAGGTGTGTGGTATAATCCATTCAAATGGAGTCGTCTTCTCAGTCCCGGGAGGCCGGCACTGGCTTGCCAGGGGCAGATGTGGTTTGCACAGTGAATTCTCCAGGTAAACTCATTCCTTCTGCACAGGTGTCCTGCTCCATGACTGTGCAGATGGCTGGGACACGCTTGGGTGCTGGGGTGGGCGGTCAGCAGGTGCTCCCCGAGGCCTGGGGGACGCAGGTGTGGCCGTGGGAGTTTGTCCATAGAGGAGAGGACCACGGTGCGGAGGGCACATCTGAGGCTTTATTCCTTCCTGCATTTCCCATTGGGAGTTGGGGTACTTGCACGGAGGGCCACGTAATACTTCTCAGGATTCCAGGGGAGATGGGGTCGGTGGAGAGGCCCAACCCCAAATCTTAACCGTGCCTTTCCATGCGCGTCCCAAGGTTAGCGGCAAATCTTGTCCCTTCTGCACATGAAATGCTGAATGTGTGTCTTTTCACCAACATGCACCAACACTTCCCTGGCCCAAGGCACCGCCTGCTCTTACCCGGGTGCCAGGACTGAGGTCTTGGGGGCACCCCCTGTGCTCCCCTGGCCCCCGGCCCACGTCTTAGGTCTCCAGAAGTGTCCACAGTCACCCATGGAACGCATCCCTCAGATCACACATCCCTCTGGCTTCATCATACTAACCATCACTAATAATAAAAAAACAAACTGTCCCCCACGACTTACGGGTCCTCCCAGGTCTGGCCTGGCAGCTCCTCAGCTTCTTTCCACCTGCCTGGCCCACCCCTGGGGGTCTCCCCGGCACCTCCCCTAGATCCCCGCCTCAGATGTTTCCTGTCACTCTGACCTCAGTTCCTGCCATGCCTCAGCCCCCTCTGTGTGCCAGCCCCGTACACCTGTCATCCTGTGTACCTGCCTGCCTCTGTCAACATGGTCTTTCCCATCCTTCTATACCGTTTTCTGCTCAACCTTGTGCGTTCTTTTAAAAAATATTTTATCCATTTATTTCAGATAGAGAGAGCAAGAGAGAGAGCATGAGTATTTGGTGGGGAGTGGCTGATGGAGAGGGAGAAGCAGGCTCTGTGCTGAGCAGGGAGCCCGACATGGGACTCCATCCCAGGACTCTGAGATCATGACCTGAGCCGAAGGCAGACGCCCAACCAACTGAGCCACCCAGGGGCCCCCATTCACTCTTTTTCTTAAGCCGCTTTATGGAGCTGTGAGTGATGGACATATAAAAAGCGGCAGATACAGGAGCCTGGGTGGCTC